GGGACATTTGAAACGAGCCCCGCTCCCTTTGCCATTGGCAATCTAACTTTGAGCTCAAATTTCTTTGTGTTGAGCCGTCCAATTGCAATAGTTTTTGTACAAATCGACAGAGAAAGACTTGGCGCATCTAATCATATTAAGAAGATTGAAATTGGACAGCTCAAAGCCAAGATATTTGAGCTCAAACTTAGAATGCCAATGGCAAAGGAGTGGGGAGCGAATCAAATCTCCGATAGCCTTTTTCAAAGCCAAGTTAACTCACAAATCCTTGTTTGACTCCAAAATTGAATACATTGTCCCATGGGCCAAGTATTTGACCGGCGAGTGCAGAAAAATAGAGCTCTGGAGATAGTAAAAACAAAACGACTTCTAGTAGTATAGAAATGCTCTGAAAAGTTATGAAAATATTGAGAAAAGCGAAAATATAGTGATTTGTAAATATACTAGAGCATGACAATGAGTGACAATGTGCTTTCTAAAATTTCTAGCCGAACAGTTTCCCCAATTTTTGGGACATCTGATATTCCTGCCCTTTTGCCATTGGCATTCTAAGTTTGCGCTCAAATATCTCGACTTTGGGCTGTCCAATTTCAATATTCTTGGTATCATTAGATGGGCCAAGTCTTTCTCTGTCGATTGGTATAAGAACTATGGAAATTGGACGGCCCAACACCAAGGAATTCGAGCTCAAAGTTAGATTGTCAATGGCAAAGGGGCGAGAATATCAAATCTCCCACAATTGGGGAAACTGTTCAGCTTTTCCAGTGACCATTTTCTAATCAATAGAAGATTATCAACTTTTTTTGTTTTTGGAATTCTGAGGAAAATTTGGTTGCTTTACAATCACACCGCTTTTTTTCCCCGACGAGTTATTCTAATCTTTTTTTTCTAACATGGGTGGGGCTCTTTTCCTTCTTTTCACCAAATGCTCGCAATGCAAAGGCACAATTTTCACTTAAACTCTTCTTCTTCTTCTTCTTCTTCTTCTTCTTCTTCTTCTTCTTCCCATTCCATTTTCATATCTCTTATCATTTTTGGATTCATTTTTCTTTTCTTTTTGTTTCTTCTTTGACGTAATGTTGCACCCAAAAGAGAGGCGAAGGAATGATTCATTCTCCCTTTTCATCGCACTTTACACAAAAATCACACGAATTTTTTTGCCATATTCAATGAAATTTTGTCGAGAAATATTGTATCGTAGTTGAAAGTCGATCTAAAACTGTTTATTTGAAAGATTTTTCGACTTTTTGCTGCTTTGTTACTGGTTCCAGTGGAAATTTTCTTTAGTTTTCTGTTGGGTTTCCAAGTTTCTAGTTGACTATTTGGGTAATTAACTTTTTTCCACTCTATAAAAGCCTTACACTTGTTAGCTACAAATCTTGTTCGTCATACCTATGTGCCTAAAGATATTTGCCTTTATTTTACAGGTCACTGTAGGTATGACTGGAGGCTGTTTCTTTGTTTCTGAATACTTTTCAGAAAATACGTATTTGCCTTTATTTGCCTTTATTTGCCTTTATTTTGGGGGTAGTCAAAACAGTGCCGTCAAATTTCTCACAATCCAAAAAACGAAGCCCGTTCAAGTTTTATATCAAAAAATTCCTTGCGTTCTTGGCTACATGATGGGTAAAACAGTTTTTTTAAAAAAAGTGAATATTTCATAGAGTATTTATATTTCATATTTAAAGATACTCAGTTGGTTAACTGAATATCTTTAGAGACCCATTTTGAGTGCTCTTTTTATCTATTTTTTGACTACGCCCTTTATTTTACAGGTCACTGTAGGTAAGGCTGGAGGCTATTTCTTTGTTTCTAAATACTTTTCATAAAATACGGTTTAAAAATGAATGAAAAAAGGATTTAAATGATCGTAATTTGTACTAGTTTGTAATTTTGTCTTTCTTTATTTCATTGAAATTGAGGTTTTTTTTCTTTTAGCTGGATACAAGACTAGAATTGTTAGAATTCGGAAATTTTGATTTTCATTAAGATCTTTTTTGCTTTTTGCTGTTTTTGCCATTGGCTTTTGTCTAGTCGATGGATTGGAATTGAAAAGTTAAAACATTCGTTTTCTATTCATAAAACTCAGCATGTTTCTATTCAAAAGGGAATGTCAACCGGGTGTGGTGACCAAATGACACGAGGCATAACATTTTTCGACGTAGAATTTTGCGCTGATGCCGAATCTGCTTTCCGTTTCTGATAAAGAGCACTCTGTCAAAAGTTATATGCGTTTTGTATGGAATTGAAAATTATAGGCAAACTTCCTAGTCCTTGAGTTTATAGGCGGACTTCCCAGAGGCTTTCAGAAGCAATGGTGGCGAGTGGTAGTCGGCTAGAATGTAAGGAAAACTCTCTAGGGTTCGACTCGTCAGTTTGACTTTTTTTTGCTTTTTTAGAGGGAATTGATCTCCATTTGAAATACAAATCTTTTTTAAACTAATTCTGATACAAATGTTTCCTTCTAACTATTAACATTGGTACTACGCTGGTTTGGGGGAGCGCTTTCTTTGGTGAAATAGATAAAAGCGGCACATGCTTGTACGATGACTCGACAAAATGTTACAGGTCTCTAAAGAAGCCCGGTATCACCCATGTCTTCAACAATTCATTTTTATCGATCTCTGTCCATTTGCTTTCTTTCGCCAGATGCTTTCGACAGTATTCTAACTTTTGAATCTAAAATCTTGTTTTGTTTTAATTAAAAATCAAGCAAGTTCTTTACATTGTAATTTCGATAGTACTCCTTGATTGCCGGGTTCACCGTAGGTCCAGTATCAGCTCAATTCAGATTTTCAAAGTCGACCCAGTTTGCCCATCCCCTCCGAAATCGTAGAATGGGCAAACTGAGTCGACTTAGAAGATGTGAACCGATCTGATACTGAGTAAATATTTGACTCCTTTGATTAGTTTACTAGAATTTTATCATTTCTTTCAATTATTGCCAAACGAGCCAAAAAATCAGCCGAAAAACTTTTAAGGATGCCAAAATTTGAGACGATTTTTAATGGCTTCAATCAAAGGTGAAAATTTGTGTTCTTTTCAAGGCTATTTTTATCTATCGTAAACCTTTCCAATCGGTTTGAAAATGTGTTTTTTGGAAAGAGCCCAAAAATTTAACCCTAGAAAAATGTTTTTCGGGATTTTTTAGCCACTGGAGAAACAACGCCAAAATGGAAATTAAGCCTTAAGAAGTCGTTTAGCTCTGGATCAACCACCAAATCTGTTAGACGGTTTTAGGACCATTTTTTTTTTCTTAATTAACCTTTTTTAGTGTTTTTATTGAATTTAATAATATAAACCGCATTAGAAAGCGTTTTTTCGGAGCAAGAATTAGATGAGAAAGTCGATCCGGGTCATTCTGGGCCTGCTTTCTGTACTTACTGTGACTCAAACTTTGAAGCTCAAATACTCGATGATTTTGGTGGCTTTCGGGGTGTCCAAATGGAACATTTCTAAGTCAGAATTTCAGCGAGAATTAAATAGTCACATTTGTGGGACGATCCGAGCAACTTTGCCGAACAAAATTTTCAAAATTGGAATATTGGGAATATTGGTTTTCCGGTAAGACAAAAAGTACCCCAAGAAAAAGCTAAATTATGGCAAAAACTTGTATAAATGCAAAGTTTTTCAAGAATCCTTTCAAGAAAATGGCGTAAAAGCATTTATTCATTGTGAAAAATGTTTGCAATGATTCACTTTTTTTCACAAATCATTTCAATGCAACATTTCGACGTAAAAGCTTTCATTAATATTGGTTGGTGAATTGAAAACTGTGGGCTAATGTCATATGTGACAGTTTGAGCACTTTCTTCAAAAGAAACCCATTTTGGTGTCAATGGAAAAGTTGTAGAGAATCAAAAATCAAGCTTATATCCTAATTTTCAGAACGATTCAAAAACTGGTTTTCGAGAAATGCCAAATTTACGAATTTTCACAAAACTTGCAACAAAACTTGCATTTTAAGCAAAACTACTAAGTGTATCTTTTTGGAAATTTGGCTATAAGCCTAATTTTTGATTCTCTACAACTTTTCTATTGACACCAAAATGGGTTTCTTTTGAAGAAAGTGCTCAAACTCTCTATGGGACATCTCCAGTCCTCCATTTTTGAGTCTCACACTTGTCTCACACACAAACCAAAATCCTACTACGAAAGAGGAATCGGCAAATTGCCTGTAAAATGGGCAGAAGTCGTCAATAATAATGGAAATTATTTGGAATGAATTCATGGTTTTATGTTGAATAAATTTTAGCTCAAAGTCCCGCAGTTTTCAATTCACCAACCTAATATCATTTTTCAAGCAAATAAAATTTCAAATTTCCCTTTTTCACTCAATCTCGTCATCAAAATCATCAAAAATATTTTATTTTTTTAAACTTTTATTTCATTTCAATCATTTCTAGAATAAAAAGCTTTCATTTTTCAGCTTTTTATTGAATTTTTGTCACTTTCCACGTTTTTGTGAGAGAAAATTTGCCCAGAAACACCAAAAAAACTTCGATTTTTTCCTATATAAACATAAAATATTCAACAAAAACAGTTTTCGCATAAAATTTAAACGATTTTTCTTCAAAGTTATGATGTTTAAAACGATTGTTTGAATGAAAATCAAGCTTGTTTTCAAGTTGAACAATTTTTCTTTGACAGTCTTCAACAATTCATTGCTCGTTGCCCAATTTTGTTTAAATTTTACTTTACTTGACTTTACTTTACTTTAAAATTCTCATTTTTCTTGATTTGATAAGTTTTATATCAAAATATGCCATATAAAGTATCTCAAATTGATGATTTCTTTGAGTGATTCCTTTTTTTTCCATTCTTATCAAGAAATTCCAAGCTTTCTCACGGAAAAAGCACTTTTTTTGATCTTTTTTACTGTTTCTTCAAACTATGTTAGTTCGTTTTTATATAATATACCTTTTTCCCTTTTTTCCAAAAAACACTCACTTTTTTATCTCTAAATAATTTGCAGAAGTTAAACCAACAAAAAGGAAATCATGAAATCGAGTGATGTCTCGATATTGATCCCCCGCGGCACACCATGTCCCCAATCGTCACAATCACTCCAATTGGCTCTCGTCGTTTTATCGATTGGTGCAGCTTCACATTTTATGGTTGGCTTAATTTCATTTTAAATATACGCCAAGGCCGATTGGTTAAAGCCGCCAAGGCCGACTGGCTAAAGCTGCCAAGGCCGACGGGCTAAAGCTGCCATGGTCGATTGGCTAAGAGTCCTGGATATTACAGGGGAACGGTCCAAACTTTTAGTGCTTACGGATTGTTCTTGTGAATTGTTTGCACCAAATTTCTCGTGCGAATAAATGTACCTGTGAACGGACAGAGTTTTCATCCCAAAAGAGAGGACATCTCCAAGGATAACAGGTCCAGGCCAGGTCTAGGCCAGGTCCAGGCCTCATTTCTGGGGATTTTATGGATTAAACTAATTGTAAGCAAGGCCAGGCGTAGATCTGTCATCTTTCAAAAGCCCATTTTCCAGTTATTTCTCGACTCTGTTGTGGACAATCTCCTCCCAGCCGCAATGCCTTTCCTTTTATCGATTTACAAAACGAAAGAAGAGGGTAAGCTAAAGCAGGCTTTGCAAAACTTCAAAATACACTCATCTGATTATTCTTTTAGCCGATAAAGCCTGGGAATTCTTGGTGTCTAGCCGAATTTATGGGCTTGCCGTTGGGTGCTTTCTCTCGATCTACTTCTCGAATAAATATGGGAGAAGGGTGAGTGCAAAGGCTGCTCTACTAAAAGAAATTGATTTCCAAATCTGAGCATTTTATTTGTTTCCAATACTAAATAATATTTCAGATGCCGATCCTCATCGGCACCGTAATGGATATCATTGGTGTCTTCCTGACAGTTCTCACCGTTTACATGCCCGGTGGAGTTTCCGTGGCCGTTGTGGGACGATTCATCAACGGAATCGGGCAAGGAATTGTTCAGGTATGAGAAATTAGAAAGTAGAATTAGAAATAGATCAATAAATATTTTTAAAAGGGTTTAAATTAAGCTGGGCATTCAAGCTAGCTTTCTTACTAGCTAAGTCAACACAAAACAAAAACTAAGTCAACACAAAAATAAAGCCAACATTTAGAACAATCCATGAAGTAGTTCAACTTTGATACTAATTTCCTCTATCTTCTTACACATGAGTATACAAGATAAATTGTACTTTTCTATAACCAAATTTAATGAGGATCATTTTAAAACCAACCTCACCTCGCTCTGATCACTGGGAGTCGGGATATGGAGTAAAATAGGAAAGCTCCCAAACTCCGAACGGAATTTGGAATGTTCTAATGAATGTTCATGGAATAGAACATCATTCAAAAGTTTATTCAGCTACTACAAACTACAAAATAACAATTATATAATGTTAGATTTGTTATTTTTATTTTAAATGAATTTTTTTAGACTTCTGGTTCGGTGATGCTGGCCGAGATTCCGCCATTGAGACGGCGAGGCACTGCTTTGGCCACTTTGGTGAGTGGTTAGAGGGATGAAAAGTTACATAAAATAATCACAATATCTAGAATTTCTCTAGAACCAGAGTTCACTAAAGTTTTTTGGTTTTAATTGATCAATTTCCTTACAGACAATGTGGGCCTGCATGGGAGAGCTTGGGGGAATGCTGATCTCATTGGAGGAGCTGCTTGGAACGTAAGTGCAATTCTCTGAATGCACATCTATTAAATACAGCTTTTACAATGTGTTTAACTCTACATTCTTTAATGAAAAACTATTAGCCATTAGCCATTCGATTTCAGCTCAAAACACTGGCATATCGCGATGGGTGTTCCATTGTTGCCCCTAATGCCGGCTCTCTACATCCTCTACAAAGCGCCCGAATCGCCAAGGTTTGTTCAAAAGTATCAAAAGTAAAGTATCGAATGAATTCTTTGAATTTAAAATGAATTTCTTTTGATTTAAAGACAACTTTTAGCATAATTAGACTATTTAATTAGTTTTGTAGCTAGATTCGGTTTTGAAAATCGGTGATAAGTTGAAATGGTTCCTTAGTAAGTATTTGGTTTGTTTGCTTAAGATTAAAAATAGGAGAATAAGCGTGATGAAGGCCAAAGCGTAAAAGCATAAAAGTTAAAGATCTTTTGGTTAGGCTTATAGCTTGTACCACACTTTACAAGGACAGAAAAACAGAAACACATCAATATAGATACATAGCATTTTTAAAATTGAATTTTATATCGATATGTGGTGCATTGAAGCCTTAATCTTTCTTGAGAACTCTCAAACTCTCAACTCCAATGGCTAGACATGAATTTCGATTCATTTGTTGTTTGTTCGTTTGTTGGTTCGATCTAGAAATCCGTCTGATCTAGAAATCCGTCCGATCTAGAAATCCGTCTGATCTAGAAATCCGTCCGATCTAGAATGATTCAATTTAAACTATCATTCGCCCAATAAGCTTTTTCTTTTCCTGATCAAAGTATCGATATAAATCGATATATCGATATTCGCTTTTATCTCAATCATCGCACTCTTTTCAGATATCTTTTCATGATCAACCGAGAAGCGGACGCGAGGAAAGCGCTCAGCTTCTATCAAAGTCCAGTCGATGCGCGACAAACGATCGATGAGATTTTAGATGAAATGAAATTGGTAACAAATCAAATCTTCAAACAAATCTTCAATAAATTCAGTTTTAAAAATGAATTCTAATCTAATTTCTATTCCAGGAAGACGTTGACATCAATTCGAACACCCCGAAGAAGAAAATAAACCGAGAGCCGAGTGTTTCGCAGGTTTTCGAGAGGTAATTTTTAAAAAAGGAAACTTTTCGACTAGTTTTCTACTAGTTTTCTACTTTTTTTAAAAACTTTTCTACGTGTTCTACTAATTTCGGGGATTTCATTTCAGAAAAACTCATTTCAGCGATTTCATTTTAACAATTTTCACTTCGGGAAACGTTCATTTCGGGGAATTTTCACAATAATTTTACCAATGCCAACGTTAAGTGCTTTTTTCAAAAAATGTTTTTCAGTGCTCAGTTGAGAAGAGTTAAAAAGCGAACGCCGTACTTGTTTATTGATTGATTTATTGATTATAACGTCTAGAAAATACTCGATTATTAAATAAAACTAAAACCCGACGAAATACCGTATTTTCTCTAATAGTAGTGCACCCTGAGCGCAAATTTCTTGAGTCTGGTCAGGGAAAATCGACCGTAAACTCAAATTTTTTGAGTCTGGTCAGGGCAGATCGAGTGGAAACGACCCGTGTCTAATGCCAATGTGTTTTTTAATCAAAAAGATTGAAAAATCTTTTAAAATGAACGAAAAACGTCAAGAGAATCGCGCAAAAGAAGCGGCGTACAACGCGGACAAAAACACTGTTAAAATCGCCGAAATGAACGTTTCTCGAGATGAAATTCTTGAAATGAAATTATCCGAAGATTGCTAAAAAGTTTTTTCCGAAACGAAATTCCTGAAATTTATCGTAAAGCCGTTTTTAGATTTAAAACCTGAATTAACATTTACATTTTAAAAACATTCAACATTTAAAACATTTAACACTTAAAACATTAAAACATTTAAAACATTAAAACATTTTAAACCAATATTTTAGACTAAAAGACGGCTATTTCTCGCGTCCATTGCTGATCGCTTTGTTCGTGCAATCGTTCGTTCATTTGGATGATTGGGTATTGTTTATCGTTTGAGACATTCAAAAAAATGCCTTAGTTTAAGCAATAATTACTGGATTTTATTCGATTTTCAGCTATGGATCTCCTATTCGACCCAGATTTTCGAAAACGTCGGCCTCTCGGCGAATCGAGCACAACGGGCTTCGTTGCTCATGTCTTTGCCACAGGTTGGGGAAATAAAAAGCTTAAAAAAGGAGTTTATGGAAAATCTTTGATACTCTAAACTTGGACGTTAGATCAAAAACTTAACATTTAAGTCTTGAAGTCTCAAATTTAAGTTGTCCAGGGTTTTCACCGACTTTGTAGTCAAAATTTAAGACTTAAGATCGACCAAAGAGTCCGCAAAGAATCGAAAAGCCAACCTTGTAACATCGAAGATCATCGAAAAGCTATAAAATATAAAACCATCATGAGATCTGATTTTAGGCAGTGATTTCGATAGCGCTTCTCGGATGTTTCGACAATTTTTCCCGAAGAGCTCTCTTGATTTTGCCGACAGTTGGAAGTGTGTTGATCGGGTTGATGGCGATTCTGTTCACAACGTTTGAGAAAGGTAGGCATCTTTGTGAAAGTCACCAGCTCATGAAAAATCATCCAGCTCACCCACAAAAGTCACTCTGAACCTGACAGAAGTCAGTCTGGCTTACAGATCTTATTAGGGAACGGCGCCAGATGCTCATAACTCACCAGATGCTCGTTCGAAACGAGACTAAACCTATCTTATAGAGTCGACTACGCTGATTCTGAATCGGTTTTTAGTTTTCGTCTGTAACACGAGAATCTGGGGAACTAGTTTTGAACTTATTACAGTCGAACTTCGATGCGGACTTCGATACAACGAGCTGCAAGAAATCGGTTGAAGAGTTCGAGTTTGAAAAGGAGTTAGATCAAAGTTTATTGTATAAAAACAAATAACCATTGGCTTTTGACCAATTCGCTGGGAGTTTTTATAACAAATTTGCTTTGAAAACAAGTTAGCAAGAACAAGTTGAAAAAAGAAAGAACATTGGAAATTAGAAAGAACTAAAGAAATTAGTTCGGATCTTTTTTTTCTAGTTTTTCAGGTCAAATTCCTGTAAAAGTTCCCTCAACACTTCGGCTTTCCACTTTTCGACATCATTGTCGTTGATCTCAGCAGCTTCCGCTTTTAGAATTGGAAAAACAACTTCGTGACGCTTCTTGAATTTATGCAGTCAACCGCCGCTCGCTTGAAAATCCTTTCAAGCTTGCCAACTGCTAACTCGAAACAGGATCAAAACTTTTGTTGACGAGGGTCCTTTTGCTAATCCAACTTTAAGCTCAAATATCTTGGTGTTGAGCCATCCAATTGCAATAGTTTTTGTACCAATCGACAGAGAAAGACTTGGCGCATCTACTCATATGATTAGAACGTGTATTTTTGTATTAAGTTCAAAAGCTAGCATCCCAGATTCTCGCCTTACAGGCGTCGAGGGCAAAAACTAAAAACGAATTCGGAAACAGCGTAGTCGATTCTATAAGCTGGGTTCCGAAAAGCTATGAGTACCTGGTGCCATTCCCTAGTTAAAACCTGCTGGAACATCTCTGATACGTAACTGATCGATCACCCTAATTAACTAACTAATTAATTAACAGACTAACCACCTAAATGGCACCTATAAAATATTTCATTATTCAAACTTTCAGTGCTTCTTCGTGGCATTCCGATCGCCGTTGTTCTGCCCATTTTAGCCGCTTTTGATCTTTCGGCTGCTGCCATCTCTGGTGAAAGCGCTTTTGCCATCGTCCCCGAGTTGTTTTTACAAAATGACAAGATTCTTGGCACGGCTATTGTTGGAATTGCACAGGTTTGCCAACTTGGTGTTAAAAAGACATTTATTCACATGAATAATGTGGTACAAACAATACATAAGTACGACCGCTAAGCTCTAAAAGTAGAGAAGAAGAAAATCCATATATATGGGAAAAGAAATAATACTCTAGTCAGCGGAATTGAACCCTTGATCTCCTGAATAAGATACAAGGCTCTTGGCTAGTCGGCCACAGCCAGACGGCAAAGGGCAAATGAAAATAAACCCAATTTCATTTCAGAATGTATTCGGCGGGATTCTCACGAACTTTCTGCTGACCGCAGTGAATCACTTGGGCACAGAGAACGTGTTGGTTCCATTTGTGATGATGAATGCTCTCTATGTGTTCATCAATTATTACCATCTACCGGAAACAGCTGAGAAAACACCACAGGTTTGTGAAAGTTTTCGAATTTTCACAAGAGTTTGGGCATATTGGAAAGATTGTGGGAATTTTATACTCGCCTCGCTCCTTTTGCCATTGCCAATCCAACTTAATGCTTAAATTTCTTGGTCTTGAGCGGTCCAAATTGAATAGTTTACATACCAATCGACAGAGAAAGACTTGGCGCATCTAATGATACCAAGAATATAGAGATTGGATAGTCCAACACCAAGAAATTTGAGCTCAAAGTTGGATTGGCAAAAGAGGCGGGACCAGAAAGACCTTTTATACGCGGCCGGTCCCCTTTGCCATTGGCAATCCAACTTTGAGCTCAAACATCTCGACTTTGGGCTGTCCAATTTAAACATTCTTGGTATCATTAGATGCGTCAGGTTTTCTCTGTCGATTGATACAAAAACTGTTTAAAATGGACAACTCAAAACCGAGATATTTGAGCTCAAAGTTTTGCCAATGGCGAAGGGGGCGGGGCACGTAGAAAACACGACTATTGTTGAAATTCCAAAAAACAAACGATTTTTCAGGAAGTTGCCTTGCACTTTTCCCCCAATCCTCCATTCGAGTCATCAATCGCTTGGCTTTCTCGGAAATACCATGAAATCTCTCTTTCGATCATTCCTACGAAGCTTTTCTCCCTCTCCACTCTGATCCAGTTGCTGATTTTCATCACTCAAGTCATTTTCTGTGTACTTTTCCTCAATTTTTCGTATAATTTGGGTAGCCAATTGTTGCGTTTGGCGGCACAAAGTCTCGGGAAATAGAAAAGGGTTTTAGGAGTTTGAGTTTAAAATGGAAATGGAAAACCTACCGCATTAAATTCTCCTCTAAATTCTTTCTCTGCAAAAAGACAAATTTTCTCGCATCATTAGCATTTTTAAAGGAGTATTTGGAAATTTGACTGCACCAGAGAGAGTGCGTTTACACAATAAAAGTACAAAGTACACCGGAAACCGTTCTTCACGTGTACTTTGTGCTCTAAACGTGTAAAAGCACCCTATCTGATGTACCGAAACCTCCAATTTTCCTTTTGAAAGTGAAAAACAAGATTTCATCGTGCCAGAAAAGGTGTGTTTCCATTTTCTTTAACTCAACGCACATTTTGAGTTCAAATTTCTGATAGATTTTCTATGAAACTTTGGTTTTATATCTTTGAGATTTCGTCTACAGTACTGGACAATGAAATGTGATATTTGAAAAAAGATCATCACTTTCGCGCGTCTATAACTCCCTTGTCTTTACCGTATTTCTAAATATTAATATTACCATTGTGTAGCCCTTGAAAAGAGCTTTCAGAAAATGTATAACACTAATAGTTTAGACTCAAAGACAAGGGAGTTACAGACGCGCGAAAGTGACGATCGTTTTTCATATCATATTTCATTGTCCAGTACTGTATTTGGTTTTTCACAAAAACTTTCAAATTCTCTATAAAGTGCCGAATTTGCCTTATTTTTGCCTTAATTTCTTTATCTTTTTGCATGTTTTAAGAGATTGTGAATCGACATAATCCTGGATTTTTTTATTATCACTTTTTTATTATCACTTTTTTTATTATTACATAAGCATATTATCCCTTTTGCCTTTTATTTCCAAATGAATCGGGTACCCGAATTGTGTGTCTTTTGATGAGAAACATTTCATTTCATAATTGGAAAGAGCTTTAATTTATGAAAATAAAATTCTAAAAAGCGAAAGAAAATTTGAATAAACACAATATTAACCAGAAGACAAGTCAATCTTTTCTCTCCAAGCTTCAAGCTGCTTTTTAGTGGTTTCATTTCGGAAGTGACTTTCAAAGATCAGCGGTAATCTTGACAAACATTTTTTTTAAAAACTGAAGGGGATTAGTAACTTTTCTTAAAGATTATTCGCTCCACAATTCTCTTGAGTGCCATTTTGCAGAGAAAATCGGGCCTACTGATCCTTCAACCATGTCTGAATCGATTCAGACATGGTTGATTCTAAATTTTTCTTGATTCTAAGATTCTAAATCTTTAGTTAACTGGACCGGGTAGACTTTACCACAATAGAGCAGATAGATAAGTCTTCTATATTAAAAATGTCACAAATTCCAGCTTTCAAATGTTGAGTAGGGTATAGTATAGCTTACTAGAAACAATGGTAGCTCAAAATAAATGTTATAAATGCTTTCGATCCGTACAATAATTAGGATCAGCTAAAATACAGCCAGAAGTTTCTAGAATTCCATTTTAGAAGTATAGAAAAGAGTTCACATGATATCATTCAAGGCAAAACCATTTCTAAGCCTATATTTCTACATGATTTTATGATCGTCAAGTCTTATGATCTGTGTTATGATCGTCAAGTTTCATTAATTCTTTATAGATTTTTTTTCGTATCATTGGACGATACAAAGCAACTTTGAAGTCACAAAACACACGTTTCCCAGTGTAAAATCTCATCAACACTGTCTATTTTTAAGAAATGACTTCATGTTCTCATTGTATTATGACGTCATTTTTGTTCCCATTAATTCCATCCATCAATTGTATTATCATGACACAAAATTCATTCAAATTTATCAATACTTTATCACACGACAAAATTCATGACTCAATTAGTTGTAGATGGAGACGCACTCCCAAGAACAAGACGGGTCACCGCATACATACTCGTAGCGCATGCCGTATGCACATCTTTCACCTTCGGGATAACCCTAGGAATTTATTTAGCAATTTACTCAGCTCTTCGTTTTCTAAAAGGTGGTCTAGAAAACGCTACCGTACTCTGGATTGTACTTTTTTCTCTCGTTGAACAAACGAGGTTGACTTTTAGGAAATGAATTTATCTAAAAGACAAACCTTGGGATAGTTGGCTTTCAGATCTTTGGGTTGTCCTGGATACTGAAATGTGACTCTTTATATAATAAGCCGATTAAATATAACTAGCCGCTCTCCAGAGGCACATCTTTGACCTTCGGGATAACCCTAGGAATTTATTTGGCAATTTACTCAGCTCTTCGTTTTCGAAAAGGTGACCTAGAAAACGCTGCCGTACTCTGGATTCTACCTTTTTCTCTCGCTTATCAAACGAGGTTTGACTTTTAGTAAATGAATCTATCGAAAAGACAAACCTTGGGATATTTGGCTTTCAGCTCTTGGGGATATTTGGCATACTGAAATGTGATTTTTCATATCATTAGCCGATTGAATACTGAACTAGGATTTCACTATTCTTTCAGCTAAAATATTCAATCTTGAAGTCTAAATTTTCCTTCTAGCACACTCAAGTCTTCATTTTTTAAAGCTTTACTTGAATTCTAGGTTTTTAAACACTCACATGAGCCATTGACAAAGCCAAGAATGCGAAAATGAAAAGAAGGACGGAGAGCTTCATGTTTTGAAAAAACAGAATGAAGATTTGGCTATTTGTGGATCTTTTATATTGATACAATACAATTGATGGGTGGAATTAATGAGTACAAAAATAATATCATAACACAATGACATCATGAAATCAACTTAAAAAGAGATAGTGTTGATGAGATTTTACACTGGGAAACGTGCGTTTTGAGGCTTCAAAACTGCTTCATATTGTCCAATGATACGAAAAAAGATCTGCAAAGAATTAATGAGACTTGACGATCAGAACATCATGTAGATTATATGTTTAGAAATGGTTTTGCCTTGAATGATATCATATGAACTAGATGAATCAAAAGAAAAAAAAAATGAGGAGAGTACTAGTTCTGTTCTAATAGAAAGTCTCGCACTTTTTTCAAATGCTCATATTCTTTATTTTCCTTAGCCTCAGTATCGTCATGATAATACAATTGATGGATGGAATTAAAGGGGACAAAAATGATGTCATAACACAATGAGATCATGAAGTCATGTCTTAAAAATAAACAGTGTTGATGAGGTTTTACACTGGGAAACGTGTGTTTTGTGACTTCACAACTGCTTCTAACTATCGTCCAATGATACGAAGAAAGGTCTGTAAAGAATTAATGAAACTTAACGATCAGAACACCGATCATAATACTTGACGATCATAGCATCATGTAGACGTATGAGTTGGCTTTACCTTGAATGATATCATAACTTGGATTGACGGCTTGCGAATTTGAGGCCATGAAGATCTTCATGGCCTCTCGAGTTCTTCAAAGAATTTCGATTAAACTGATATCGGCGATTCTGAGAATCGAAACAGTAATATCGAGATCTTCCAGGCTACAGGGTGCGGCAAAATTATGAAACGGATGCTTATTGATGAATTAAAAGAAGAAAATGAAGAGAGTACTAGTTCTGTTCTAATAGAAAGTGCCGCACTTTTTTCAAATGCTCTAATAAAAGTTTATGGCATATTCTTTATTGTCCTTAGCCTCAGTGTCGCCTATGCGGGTCAAGACAAAGCCTAGTTTCTGTTGAATCGGTCCCATTTTTGTTCTCTTCAATGTCTAAATGTGCTCTAGAAATGAATGTTTGCTAATAACTGATGATCAATTTCTGCACTTCAGTGATCTGTTCGGCTCGATCAACCCGAAACGTTGTCCCATATGCGAAACGAGATGGCACTTGAGTAGTAATGATCCAAATAGAGAATACTCAAATAGAGGAAATTCGTCTCGAATATCTCCGAGTTTGTAATGATTGTCGTCTCATATTGGGTTGGGGACTATGACTCAGCGGCTAGTTTCCATATGTGCACAGTTCTCACACTTTCTTCCAAAGAAACCCATTTTGGTGTGAATGGAAAGTTGTAGAGAATCAAAAATCAAGCTTATATCCAAATTTTCAGAACGATTCAAAAACTGGTTTTCAAGAAATGCGAAATTTACGAATTTTCACAAAACTTGCATTTTAAGCGAAACTACTAAGTGTATCTTTTTGCAAATTTGGCTATAAGCCTCATTTTTGATTCTCTACAACTTTTCTATTGACACCAAAATGGGTTTCTTTTGAAGAAAGTGCTCAAACTGGGACATCTCCAGTCCTCCATTTTTGAGTCTCACACTTGTCTCACACACGAACCAAAATCCTACTACGAAAGAGGAATCCGCAAATTGCCTGTAAAATAGGCAGAAGTCGTCAATAATAATGGAAATTATTTGGAATGAATTCATGGTTTTATGTTCAATAAATTTGCCTTTCTTTTGTCCGCCGAATCATAGTCATAACCCAATAGTTGAGGTAGTAGACAGGAGAAAGTAATCTATGGAAAAGGTAGAACGAGGAAAAACTTTCAGCTTGCTTGACCGTCAGATTCTTGAGCTCGTAGACCTGGTTGTTGGTCATGAATGGAGTGGCTTGTCGACAGGCTTTCTGAAGGGAAAAACTCCGTGTGTGAAGTGGAAGATGGCTCTGCGCTCACGAGTTCAGCCAGTCGACACAGAATCGAGATTTCGGCGATGATTCGACATGGCTCTATTCGACACAAACCGACACAAACCTGGACACAAACCGAAACGGTAATTCGGTTGAAAGTTAAAGCTTCGGTACTCTGCTTTTGAACAGTAACTCAACAGCTAGGTCTATCCTCGGCAATGAAAAACCTTGCAGAAGGAGCAAATTCCCAACCGTCGCTATCGGTGGTGACAATTCTGCCGGTGAAAGCCATTTGGGGCTCATCATTTGTCAGAAGAAAGCGGGGATTGCAGATTCACCGGATCAACGGGCATCAAATTGAATTTGATGAAATCCGTGGTGCTCTTCGAACCGCTCGTCGGGACAGAAATTGAGCTAAAGGATAGATCATAAAGAATAGATGCATAGAGCAGTTGATGATGGGAATATTGAATTAAAGAGAAAGATGAGAGCGAGGCGAAAAGTGAGAAAGGCAAAATAGAGAGATAATCAATGGTAACTTCTTCGATCGGTTTTCTCAACGGTTTCTGCGAGTGCAATAATTTGCCAATGCTCTATAACACAAAACTCGATGACAATATTAAAAAATTTCTCGAGAAGGATCTCTATTGTATCCCGAAAGGCTAAAGTTATAAACAAACTACGTGAAAACCCTAGTGAAATCGAAAAAATTTTGGAAAAGAATCTTGATGCCACCACTTTCCCCGTTTTCCGTTCTTGTTTATTTGAGGCATTTCTCCACCTGTAAAATACAAATCATTAGTTGGAAACAAAATTATGTAAATACCCTAAAGTCGCGAGTATAAGTTCTGTTTGGTTTTCGCATGCAAATTGACGGCTGTCTCCGGTGCGGTGTGTCGAGGGTTCGAACCCCGCTGCAGCATAACTTTTTTGCTTTTTAAGAACAATAATAAAAGTAAATTTATTGAGGGTTATAGCAATTTTATGCTGTTATTTGTTGCTCCGGGCGTGGCTCGGCGCGTCCGCCCTGCTCCTCTCCGGTGCTCAGTCTTCTGGATCCCTCCCTGGCCTCTTCATCCGGCCAAAGTCCACGTCGACGGTCGAAAGAGATGCCTTCCAGCGTCTTCTTCAACACTATCGTCTGGATGTACGCCTCCACGGACTCGACAATGCCGATGTCCTTTGCGTATTGTCTGTGGTAGTTCGTTACTACCCCGTCCCACGTCATCACATATGGGATAAATTAAGGCATAATGTAAATTAAGGCATGATGTAAATTAAGGCAGAACTTATACTCGGATGAACTTATACTCGAGACTTTAGGGTAATAAAAAAGAGCCAAAATTTTGATCAGAAGTGAAGAAAATAAAAACACATTTGTTTATTTTATAATTTTGTTTTTTTTAATGGTTACGGTAAGTTTGCTCACACTTTAGGGCGCAGAAAGTTGAAAAACACTACTTTAGCGTTCAAAAGGCATCAACTTTTCCCAGATTCACCCAATTGATCTCGTTTTGGTGTCAAAATGTGCACAAGACCCTTGAGCATAAAGTTTGGTATACGAAGCTCACCAAAATTTTCTTTTCGCCGAGAACCAGCCTGTAAAAGAGAGGCCATTTTGGCGTTTATATGGAAAAATAGTGATTTTTTCGATTTTTTCCGATTTATAAAAAACTGTCAGACGGATTCGAAAAATTCTTTCAAATTTGAATTCATTTTGAATTTGAATTTGAACATTTTTTCGCATCGAATAGCACTTACCGTGAGCAAATTTAACGGTGATCGCATTTTTCGCCTTACTTCGCGCAGACGTGTATCGTTTTTGTTGATCTTTCACCGCATCATACATGCAAATTAAGGGTTAAATTTCCATCGATAAATTCGCGGTGAAAAGATCAACAAGTACCGGTTTTTTTTTAGCTTTGTTAATTTATTGTTACAGTTCTAATTATCTGGTTTTGTCCCAAAAATAGAATTCAAAATGGTGATGGCCCGTAGCCGGGTTTTCGCGACTTTCATACTAACGGCCCGAGCTCCTCGAAGCTACCCCCAATCAATTTCCAACCAGGAAATTATATTTTTCAAAAATTTCAGGCTACAAAACTGTCTAAACAGTTTTTTGGAAAAATTCAAGAGGTTCGAGTTTTTTTGGATATAAGTGCTCGGATACCGGATGGTTGCTGCTTTAATTTCAAAGAAAGAGGCGTTGCTGCTGATCTTCTGGTTTTGGCAGAAATTCTTGCGAAAGATTTGGTAATAATATTTGTGGATTGCTTGGAAATGGATTCGAAGTGCTTTTCGACACATCAAACAAATCTTTATCAAGGATAATCGCCTCGAGTATCGAGGAAACTTCATTGTACCCCAAGAAATGGGTTGTGATCATGAAAGTGAAATCGTGTCGGGCTCACTAGGACAAGAAGTTTATTGTGCCGAATCTAAAACGAGATAGATGTCATCAAATGGAAAAATTATATTTTATGGATAATAAATAATCCAAGCGGTCAAAACGTTGAAAATTTCTAAATTTCTTTCTTATTTCTTCTTCTCCTCATTATCATTATTCTTATTAAGATTTTTTTATTATCGTTTGACACGTTCACGACAAGGAGACACACTGTGTAGGTCGTGAATGGGCTAAAGATTGTATTAGAATGGATCATGTAATTGGTATAAATAGGAATAAATATACTCACAAAAAATATGTATTACAATATGGTTATTCGTAAGACTAAAGTTTTACTTGTACATATTAGAAGAAAGACGATATGGAAATCAATGATTTCTTCCTTTATTTAGCCCAGCTGTGATCAAGTACATAGCGTGCAAAAATGACAAAGTTTGTGAGATATTCAAGAATGAATGTCAATGATGAAAGAGTATTCAGTGAGCTCCACACTAGCCGTTAATTACAAGCACTCAACCAATGCACAATGACCGAATTGAACACTTAGATATCTGATGGAGCGAAGGTTTGAGAAGAGCTCTTGGATTGATTTGGATAGTTTTTCTTCCTCACCAACAACTAGTTCTTGTACGTCAACGATCACTTTCGCTGTCAGCTGTCAATCGCTGAATGTGATCGTTGACGTACAAAAACTAATTGGTGATGAGAAAGAAAAACTATCGAAATGAATCGAAGATCCCTTCATAATGGTAAAATAAGTGAAAGGAAATTGGCGAGGTTGCATACTTTCCAACTCAATATTATAGTAGACGCGAAATTCTACTTCTTTTAGAAAAGCTTACTTTTTGTGTTTGTTTGAGGAAATCCAAAACTTCAGAAGCTGGTGGACGAAGAATACGTTGAAAATTAGTACATCTGATAGGTGAATTCTTAAAATATAAAAGAAAATCTTGGATCCAAACCTCGAGATGATCTTTTGAATTTCTGATTGACATTCAGGTGATTCGATTTCAGTAAGACGTTTGAGTATGATATCAAGCAATAATTGCTCACGATCAAACACTCCAGACACCTTATAGTTTGCGAAAATGGTTCTAGATCAATTGGGAATCAATTGGGAAATGTCACAAAGCAGGTCACTATTTAGACATGAATACCGCCTTTCGATGATTTCCCACATAACAAGTCCCAGACTGTAGACATCATTTCGATGGGAATCCTGGAATGACTATATATTATCATTGGATAGAGATGAATGTAAAACTAACCGATACATCAGCCTTCTTTATTGGTTCATAAACATTCCGTTGTACCCCATCTTCCTTCATCTCAGGTGGACTCATATATCGGTCTGTTCCAGCGAATATTCCCGAAACAGTTCGATCTCCCACAACTTTTACCAATTCGAGGTCACCAATCTTCAGCTGGTATTCATTGGTCACAAAAATGCTATAAATGAATTGAACTTCGACATTTATACCACTGAATATTACTTGTCTGGTTTGATATCTCGATTTAACAATTTGTGTTTCTGATACATGTCATCAATGGCACCAGATAATTGGATTCCCCAGGTGAGGACAGTGTTCATTGAATAGGTAATTCTTGGTTCAAGCATCACTAAACTCTAAGATCTAACAATACCAGTCCAATAACAACCTCCATTCTGATCCTTTTGTCCCTTCGTCAACATAAAGTTGACGAAGCCCAGGCTTTGGTTTGGGATAGCGGCTTCTCATATGGCGGCTTCTCAAGGAATCGTCTCGAAGCTTTCCTCCGGCCTCTCCGATCAAGGTGACGAGGATCGTGAGTGTCTTGTTCCGTCAACTCCCTCTTCAATGTCCTCAATTCCTTGATTTCAATGGGCTTCTCCTCCTCCATCTCCATCATTGATCAGTCGTCCTGTCTCCTCCATTCATCCCTCAACTCCTCCCGTCTTCAATTTGCTAATTGTTAGGACACATTCGTTTTGATCGTCAAAAACTACCCGGCTCTGATGGTACTTTTTCACTGTGTACTTTGTGATCAAATCTTGTAAACACACCCTTTCGTCGTTGTTATCGCTGTTGAAAGGAAAACAAAGAAATCGGTGCGCCAGAAAGGTTTGAGTTTGTGTGCTCTTGTGAAAAAGAGAATCGAATCGAATTTTCACTTGCATAATAAAGATCAACAGAAAAGGCCAAATTCATGGAAAATCTTTCAATTTTGTGCAAACAAGTGAAACCCGTTAAAGCATTTATTCAGAAGCCGAAAAAGTTTAAATTTTGGCATTTCGTTTACTTTGGTCGAATCTTGTTATCGTTGCTCGTCTCTGGCTTCTCTTCTCGAGAGAGCCATGATTGTGAAGAGTTAGAGAAAACTACTTACTCTTATATATGTGTCTACTTTTATGTAGAAAGGACTATTCAATTGTTGTACGAAAATAGAGCCAAGGAGAAGTCGTCGGCTTCTCCGCCAGCAAAGCTAAAAATTTGCACCGAAGTAGATTTGCATTTGTAACTCTCTAGGAAATGAAGATATTCAGCTTGGAAATCGATAATATCGCTTTTTTGAAGCCGATACTTTGATACCGCTGTGAAAACGATAATATCGGTTTGATACCAATATTGCCAATATCGGTATTTGAAATATCGGTTTAAACCGATATTACCTTTTCGCATCAGAAATGCTGATCAAAATGCTAATTGGCGGGAAAAAACCACCCGTACCGCTTTTTCTGCCCAAAATTACGGAGTACTCTGTACAATCGCGTACTTTTTGTCACACTGCCCTGGAAGGGTCAATAAAACGAAGGTCTTTCCCCAAGTGTTCATTCGTCCGGAGTTAAAGGCTTACCCAAAACTTTGAAAGCCATATGCAATGTATAAATAGTAGTCACTTTCTGAGGGAAAAGTGAAAATATTCAATTAATTAAATGAATAGCATTAAACAAGCTTAAGAAGGTATAAATAAATGTTTTGCGCAAAAGTTGCCATAATATTTTCGGAGCTGCTCTTGGCGGTTGTTTTTGGGTTTTTGCTTCTCAATTTTTGCATTCTTTTCATTATCAACGCATACAATGTCCATTTTTAGGACCATCACACGTTCATTTATGTCGGGTCGCTATCTTTCGCCGTCGATCAACGTCTTGATCGTCGTTTTCGCTTCTCTTCATCGATTCAACTAATGGGTCACTCGGGGATTGTCATGTAAGTGGTTAAGCCTAGCTAGGAAAACGTACGGCGAGATCTGCGCTGCTTTCTGGCTGCTAGAAGTAGGCTTATGGTTGCCAGAAGTGGTGTTATGCTCGATTTTTCGCTCTTAGAAGTGGCAAAACACTAGCACTGAAAATGTTGATTTTTTTAAGCAGTATCAGGTCTGTAAACCACTCAGAGTTCAAATTGTCGCAGAACCAAGAGAGTTTTGACAAAGATTGCTTAAAAACATTGCATCATTTGCATCTTTAAAGTTTAGCCACACAACCGCGAATGCGCTTCACGATGCCGAAAAGAGCACGGTGGCCCATAACGATTGAACGAGCCCGGTTGGAGCAGGCAGCCATCTTTTCGGTGATGTTTTAATTTGATATGCATAACTAATCATCTCATTTAGATGCAAATACGGTTGCATGTAGGTCACTAATGCGACCATTCGAATCACCCAACCTGGCAACTCGCCGGCAAAATTTCGCAGAGAATGGCCGCTCGCCGCGACCCAACTCAGGGCAATCGTCATTCAGGTACATCTATTGGATTAACTTTCTTTGTTTTGAAAAAATTGCATGTCCCTATATTTTCTAGGCTTTGGCTTCGCACCACACATGCACATAAGTTTCTAATTGAAGATATGACTGAAAATGCCTTTTTTCGTGATCAGCGCCATCAAACACCCTAGAAAAACGACATTTGAGCAAATTTCAAGTGCTCCCACAACTGCCTTAGTACCTGTTACTTTTCGTTATGTTTTGCTAACTTTTCTCGCTACTTTGTTACTTGGAATAAATTTATAAAATATTGTTCGATGATGAAGTTACTGTTTGAAACAGTTCTCGATTTCTAGATTGAAAAACTTTGACTTAATTTTTGTGGGTCTTCACGGCCTGGCTATCCCAAGCCAAATCAATATTTGCTTAACATTTCCGTTGATGAAATAATGAAATTAGGGCACCTCTTTATTTCAAAGCAACGTCTAATCTTTTACATAGTCTTTTATTTACAGGTAAAAGCTAGTCAGATCGTTCTAAATGGGGAATTGGCAAGTCAGATATGCAGTCGAAATGAAGAATTTGACGTCTTTTCCAATGGAGCAGTTGTGCTTCGATTTGAAGTTGGAAATTTTGGACCAAATGAAACCAAGCGATGTTGTGGAGTTGACCAAAGTGAATCAAGGATTCCAAGGGATGCTTGTGAAGGATCCATCAATCGTTTTTGGAGAGCACGTCTCTTTTATTGGATTACACACAGAGGAGATTGGTATGAAGAAGTTTTCCGATCAAAGCCCGTTTGATCGGGGTGTCGATATCGATCGTCTCTTTTTTCACTTTCCTTTCACTTTCTTTAAGAAGATCCGATCGTGCGACATGTTGGTGCTGAAGTCGGATTCAAAAGAAGCCCTCGAGAAATTCTTTTCAAATTTTCACGCATCAATCAAGAAAGACGCAATGTTGGAGATCAAATTCGATGTACCCAATGAAGAAGAAGATGATGATACTGAGACTGATACTGAGACTGATACTGAGACTGATACTGAGACTGATACTGAGACTGATACTGAGACTGATACTGATGAAGAGTATGATGGAGATGAAGTAGATCCAATGATCTTTGATCAAGGGATCAAGGATCTCTTCGAGGATTTCATCGTGACACGACTCAAGGATTGCGAGAGGATTATAATTGATTCTCCGAAGTATTATTCCAAGTATTATTCCAAAAACTTATGGTGCTTTTACTACAACGCCTTGTTGAGGACTCAAATCAAAATCGTTTCTGTGGCGGATGGATTTGGTAGCATCATTGATTTTATTGTTCAACAGATCATCACCAATGGAATCCCGAGCAAGAACCCTGAGGCTGCTATTTGCCTTTCTTTAGGTGGATCTTTGTTCTGGATGGATTTTTCACAATATCCAGGAATGCGACGAATCGATGAAGAGAATCGTTCTCGACTTCTCGAACAGCTGAAAGATCATAAGTATTTTGATTATACTTCTAGTTTCTTCAAAAAAAGCCCAATGTTCCGTCGACGTTGTGATTCAACCAAGGACTGCATCTACGTTTACGACGAATATGACAAACTCTTGGCCTTCTACGTCCCCGTCGATTAAAATGATTAAAATCACTCTTTGATGATTCATTATATCTTTTTATCGCTCTCTATCATTGCTTCCATTTTTTGAATTGAAAGATTATTGATGTTTTATCTGTTATATTTTATTGCCTTTCAATTATTCAAAATAAAGTTTTAAAATCTTTTGTGAAATGAAAAGAAAATGGCTTGATATTATCCCTACTTTTTAGAAGGCTAATTGTAAACGTAATAAATTTTATTTGTTTTTGTTTGTTGTCTTCCCCAAAATAATGCGAGATGAACTCGGAATACTAAAGTCTGCTGAAAGAGAGAAATTCGTCCAGAAAGTGATTACTATTTATACATTGCATATGGCTTTCAAAGTTTTGGGTAAGCCTTTAACTCCGGACGAATGAACACTTGGGGAAAGACCTTCGTTTTATTGACCCTTCCAGGGCAGTGTGACAAAAAGTACGCGATTGTACAGAGTACTCCGTAATTTTGGGCAGAAAAAGCGGTACGGGTGGTTTTTTCCCGCCAACTAGCATTTTGATCAGCATTTCTGATGCGAAAAGGTAATATCGGTTTAAACCGATATTTCAAATACCGATATTGGCAATATTGGTATTAAACCGATATTATCGTTTTCACAGCGGTATCAAAGTATCGGCTTCAAAAAGCGATATTATCGATTTCCAAGCTGAATATCTTCATTTCCTAGAGAGTTACAAATGCAAATCTACTTCGGTGCAAATTTTTAGCTTTGCTGGCGGAGAAGCCGACGACTTCTCCTTGGCTCTATTTTCGTACAACAATTGAATAGTCCTTTCTACATAAAAGTAGACACATATATAAGAGTAAGTAGTTTTCTCTAACTCTTCACAATCATGGCTCTCTCGAGAAGAGAAGCCAGAGACGAGCAACGATAACAAGATTCGACCAAAGTAAACGAAATGCCAAAATTTAAACTTTTTCGGCTTCTGAATAAATGCTTTAACGGGTTTCACTTGTTTGCACAAAATTGAAAGATTTTCCATGAATTTGGCCTTTTCTGTTGATCTTTATTATGCAAGTGAAAATTCGATTCGATTCTCTTTTTCACAAGAGCACACAAACTCGATGTACACCGGATCGTCGCCAACTTTTTCCTGTTTGCACCCGGCTTTGTCCAATACTTGTTGCCTTTGAAATATCTTGGAAGGTTCAATCGAACAGTTTAGCAAGTATCTAAAGAAAACTGGCTAGGAAGTCTTGTAATATGTACTAGGCAAATTTAGTTTTTAGCTAGAAAGTTCGATGTAAGAAAGTCCTTAACTGAAACAAGGAAAACACCTCAAAACAGCTAGGGCTTTCTGATCCGTGCAACTATTGAACCGTTATCTTGTGTTTGGTAGACCGATTGTCTTAAAAAATTGTGGTGACTGCCGACTCGAACTTTTTTGCCCTTCCCCTTAAAGTTTGTTCTAGCTACGGGCCTGGTAGTGCCCTATACCTTACTCATACATAGGAAGGTATATCGGATATGTCTCAGTCATGATTGAGTATCTTTGTAAGAAACAAACACTTAGAGCTTGAGCTATTGTCTGTATTTTAAAACAAGAAAGAAGCTTGAGATTCAAGACCGAGCTATATCTCATTTACAATGATTTTCCAATGATTTTTTTACGAGAGATATCTCATTTACAATGATTTTCCATTAAATTAGTCAGATCAGAAGAAAGAGCTCCTTAAAGAATCCCAAAGGTTTCTCCCCGCTTCAGAGAGCAATTTGTTTCTGAGCTGTGTTTTTGGGAGTTGGATGTGAAAAATAGGAAATTTTTCTTCAAAATAGTACCCACCCCCATAATGACGGTGCCGAGTGTTGCTTAATCTAGCTTTGAACGAGTTTTTCTCGACACTGGTTGATGCTACAATGCGTATTGGGTATCAAAAAATAGCTGAAATTCAGGGCTATTTTTTGATACCAAAGACGCATTTTTGAAAGTACGGGTGCTTTGCAAAAAATGAAATACTAAAAAACTTTTGCGACTACGCGACTGTACGAGGGAGTGGGGTACTATTACA